ATTGTTACTTACTCTAGAAATATTTCTTTTTAGTGAACTATACACACCACGACTATATATTGTACTCCCTACGTACGTATGACTAATTACTTTTATGGATGGAACGCGGAAATTATATACTCCCTCCGTTCTAAAATTAACTTTCCAGTTTGATTTTTGTAGTCAAATTTTTTAAACTTTGACCGTATATTACGGAAAAAATACATTAAATTTTCATATAAATTTATTAGCAATAGATTCATTTTGAAACATAGTTTTGAAATATATAATTTTTATAAAATATATTTATATAAAAATTGAGATATTGATGGTCAAAGTGTCGCATTGGAGACCGTCAAAAGTTAATTTTAGGACGAAGGGAGTATATTTCATCATGATTAGAAATTGAAAAAAACGCTTTTTTTCTTGAAAATTAAAGCACCTTTCATTGGCTAAAGTTATTTCAAGAGAAATTACTTCTCGGTTTCATTTACTTTATCAAAAAATTGGTGTTGGATTTAAATATATACTCCATCTGTTCACAAATAAACTTTTCGTTACGCGTTATGATGTTCGACTGAAAATATTTTTCAAATCATTTTATATGAAAAATAGTGTGAACTTTAAAAATAAAAATTACATATTAAAAAACTATATCAAAAGATCTACAAAACTAGAGATAACATGACTATATTATTTTATCAAATGGGTGACGAAAATAAGCCAACAAAGTGAATAAAGTTTGACTCTGTAAATAGTGAACGAGAAATTTATTTGTGGATGGAGGGAGTATTCTTTATGAGTCTTTGTGGTCGTCCCCAAATAAAAGGTTAAAATTACTACGTAGTATTTTATGATTATCTTACTTTTTGGTACTCCCTCCTCCCCAAAAAGATATTTCTGTTTTCATTTTTTACGTATCGTATAAAACACTTCTAGTCACATTTAAAATGACTACAATTTACTATATTTTTCCTTTATTGTGGGTAGAAGTTTTGATAGTTTTTTGACATTTGAGGCGTGATAGAAGTGTTTCTGGGATTCATAAAAATGAAACAAAAACATTTTTTTAGGGATGAAGGAAGTAGAAAATAAATAACAACTTAACTTGATTTTATTAAACACAAATAAGGCATATTTAGTTTACTAGTCTAATCTAATTATGAGCCCATTAACAATGAACCCATTAACTTAAAATCTACTACCTTCATCCCAGTGTATTTGTCTGGTTTGACTTTTTCGAGTCAAACTAGACAAACTTTGAACTCTAATTACTCTCAATTTATATTGTATATTAGCATAATGAAATACAATTTTGAAAGTTCTCAATACGATAAATCTAATAAAGTCATTTTTATGTTAAAATACATTACATTTTTATTTAATTGAAGCTCAAAGTTTGTCTAGTTTGACTCGAAAAAATCAAACTGGACAAATACACTGGGACGGAGGGAGTAATATAGATCATAATACTTTCCCTCAAATTGAAAATGATGGTCACCAATATACAACGTGGACAAAATTAAACTAGGACTAGAAAATAAAACTACTCTATAAACAACATAGACAATTCTTTGATTATGTGCGACAACAACGGACGAAGGCTACGGGCTGAGCAAATGAACAACCAAAATTGTTGAGGAATGATTCCCGCGCAGTGACACAAGAATGACAAACAAGTGTCCCAAACCTAGACAGACTACTGTAACCAAACTGAGGTGCAACTCCTCTAGGACCAGGCCCTAATACATATCCTAACATTTTTATTTATTTATTTGTGTGTTTTTATTCATCAAATAAAATAACATCTCAAAAAAGACAATTGATTGGATTCTCTTAACGTCTTACAACCCTCTTGTCTATTAAAAAAAATATGGTGAAGTTATAATAAAATTCAGCTTCTTGCCTTCCTCTAGTTATTTGAATAAAAAATTAGGGGTGAGCGTGGTACGGTATTTGGTCCATGACGATACCGAACCAAATATTTCAATTCGGTATGAGATTTTACATCATACCGATCCCGATTGCAAAATATCGGTTCGGTTTAGTTCCGGATGATTCAGTTTCGGTTTCGATAAATATTGGGTTGAATATATATATGTATCTAATTTACACTTTGAAATATACAAAATTTTTTATGGCAAAGAAATCGAAAGTACATTCGAATAAAGAAAGATAAACAATTGAAAAATGAATAATTATATGCAAAAAATGCTTATAAAACTTAACTTAATTTATACTTCATATTTCACAAACAAAAGACAACGAATGATAACAATATAGTATTTCAAATATTTGTTAATTTTTTTATATTTATCTACAAAAAAATAAAATTCAAATAAATAATTGTATAGTAAAAGATTTTTTGTAATTCATCTACACTTGAACCAACTTTTCAAAATCAATTTATTTTTTAGTGAAGAAATATAAAAACATTGTTATTTTTATAACATATTTGTATATGTGTTGGGTTCGGGATTTTTCGGTATGAGAAGATGCCTCGTACCGATGTCAAATATCGGACCAATCATTCGGTTTGGTATGATACGGTTCTTTTTGGTACTTTATCGGTTCTGTAATTTCAGTTTTTTTAAGAAATTTCGGAATCAATTCAGTACTTGCTCACAGCTCACCCCTATAAAAAATCAAATGCCAACTTCTCCTTTGGCTTGCATGGTAGGAAGCTCATTACCCAGTATGAATGAACTACATTGTGATGGAGTCAATATCACTAACACTATGTTTGATTCAAAAAATATGAAAGGGAAAAGAAAAGAAATTAAGATGGAAAACTATTTTTCTTGTATGGTTAGAAAGAAAAAGAAAAGAAAAGTAGATAGAAAAAAAATAAAAAGGTAAAATATTCCAAGAGAAGGGAAAACTAATTTCTTTCATTTTGGTGAGGAAAATGAAAGAAACTCATTTTCTTTTCTTTTTCTTCTTAAATCTTGGAATCAAACATAGTGTAAAAAAATCAAATGGAAAAATTGTTACTGGAATTTTCTTATACTTTTAATTTATTAGTATCAAGTTTTTAGCAATTAGTGTTTGGATATACTCCGTATAAAAAACTAAATTGTCGAATTTTCATAAGAAATTATAGGCATACCAAATAAATCAATTTTCAAGCAATTTTAAAAAGAGCAATATTACCTAATCGATTAATAAGTTTTTGGCAATGAGTGAAGTATGATTTTACTTCATTTCTTCATTATATTACTAGTAGTATTAGGTCAAAAAAGTATGAACCCCTTTGGACATGGCCCCGGCGGCTGTCCTCTGATCGAGCCTGCGCCCAAGGCCGGCTCCGACCACCTAAAAAACTTTACATTTTCACTTTTTTTGTCATATTTTGAGACTTATGAAAAAAATATTTTATTATAATATAAATTTAATATGATTGAATTAATTTTGAGTAGGTTTAATATACTCCGTATCAATAAATTTGTATAATACGGAGTATTTATTTATTTAAAATTATATTTATTCATAGTCAAAGTGTATTCCAAATGGGTAAAAAAGTCAAACTTTGATTTTTTTTTCTTTTTCTTTTTATCTTTTTTTAGATGATATAGGGAGTATGAAGTTTTTGTTTTTTATTTTGGAAAAAATTCACACCAATACTAGGGAGTATGGAATTTTCATTTCTTATTTTGGAAAAATATCAATGCTCCCGAATTTGGTTGATCATGCAATATTACTATTCTCAGATTTTCTTTTGTACGTCAATATTTTGTGAAATCACTAGATTTTAGATCGATACTCTAGTCCGATAGAGTTAGCTGGTTTAATCACAAGGATTTATTTTGAGATACATAGTGACAATTTGAGATAACATCTAAATTAATATTGAATGAGAATAAACAACAAATCTAAACTAATAGAATCCAATTAGACACCATTTAGACTCTTTTGAATAACTTATAACTTAGTAAAGGAACTTAATTAAAAGCGGTGAAGTCATCTGTCATTTTTTAGCCATGTTAGGGGTAGACCTTTGGTGTACCCCATTTGTCCCACACCCCTTTCTCCACCATTCAAATGGGGTACCCCTTTCAATTTTTGCATTTTTCGTCATTTTTTCCAACGTGAAAACAATTCAATTTAAGAGCTCCGACGCAGACATTGGTTCATTTGTATTCTCCTCTATTATTATTCATCCTTTGAGCTTGAGAGCTCCATTAATGGCTCTAAGTTTTTAGAGTAATGTATATGTATATTCCCCGATATTAATTTAACTATCTCTCCTTGGTATGGTACATCCTAAAAAGGCCAGCTGGCCAATGATTTTTTCCTGATTTGGGTTTACACATATAAATATTTTCTCTCTACTTATTAATTCATTTATTTACCAAATTTTGCTTTTCGGTGCGGTGCGGACACGATACTGATTATTTAATAAACAAAAATGATTATTTAATATACCAAAAATAATTTGTAAGTAATTCTATGATTCTTGACATTGTTTTTAAAGAAAAAATACTCATCTTTGAGTTTGACATAAATTTTCAAAAAATAAAAATGAAATAATTTAAGACAAAAAGAGGAATTATTAGTTCACTATACATCGGCAACAAGATTTTAGCAAATTGCATATTGAAAAAATCTAATTCTGATAATAATAATAATGATAATAATAATAATAATAATAATAATAATAATAATAATAATAATAATAATAATAATAATAATAATAATAATAATAATAACAACAACAATAACAACAACAACAAATTTATGTTTAAAATGTTTTCATGCGAAATAAGATAAAGGATTCATTACTTGGTGAAATCAGATATGTATTAATACCGGAGTAGTTTTTATTAATGAAATAGAATTGCATCACCAACTTATTAAAATTCACATCATTCAGATTTAAATACTTTATTTTTTAAGAGCATTTCCATCCCTTATACAGAGTATTAAAATTCATTCATCCAATATTTATTTCTCATCTCCACATCATTCAGATTTAAATACTTTATTTTTTAAACGAACACTCACAACTCATTTCATCCATCGATCCACGTCCACTTTTACTTTATTTATTATTTTAAATAATTTATATCCCGTATATTATTTGTTATAACAGAATTGAAAACTAAAAAAAATTATGAAAAATATTAAAATAAATATTTAGGAATTATATGAATTTATATTTAGAAGAATAAAATTTAGAGAAAAGACTTACGCATCGAAGAAATCTCGTTCAGTCTCTATGATCCACATCTTCCTGAAGTTCATCCTACATACATTGATACAATTGAGGACTCAGTATCAAACAAATTATACATAGATAAATGTTATGGAAGAGAATAAACAAATGGAGTTCCAAACAGTAAGTAAAAACATGATTTACACTAAAGTTATGGAATGTTTGTCAATGGTTATGTTTTTAATACCCTCTTGCAATATCTAAGGGATTACATGTTTTTTTAAGGCTACAATATAATATTGTCTGCTCCATTTCTACAGTGTTTCATGTGTATCTTGCAAGAAACTTTTAGTACAGACAGCCTTTGAAAACTGAGTTTCTTACTAATTTGTGTGAGCATGATGTACCTTGTTGTGTCCATCCATATTTCAAAAGCAAATACTAAGAGGTTGGACCGCAATCGTCATGTCGCGGGGTGAGGTAAACGAAGCTATAATCTCAGTACGGTTGATGGAAACCGACACTTGTCCTTTATACGTGCAAGAACCCTATGCAGAGCATGGTCAACTTTTATCGCCGTTGTTAGGATTCGAACCCGAATTAGCACTCACCTCTCAACGACGTGATATATCCCATCGGGACTAAACTTTCCGAAGCAACCCGCACCACAATTTCACGCACATGAGGTCTCGTCTTCACCTCCCTCTAAATGTCTCATTTCCAAAGCAACCCACTCCACCATTCTATAAATCTCACCAGACAAAGGATGAGACCTGTCATCTGCCGAGAACCGGTGAAGAGGATTGAGGGAATCACCGTCAACCCAGCTGAACCCCACGCCCTTCTTCACCCCTCTATGTCTCATCCACCTCCTCACCTCCGCCACCGTCCCCCATTCCCCCTTCTCTGCAAACACGTTCGACATTGTCACATAAGACCCTGAATGCTTTGGGTCCAACCGGATCAGCGCCTCCCCTACCCTCTCTGCCATCTCTGCATTCCCATACTTCCTGCAACAACTCAACAAGCTTTGGAGAACCGAAAGCCAGGGCCCACCTGGGATTCTGGACACGAACTCCTCCGCCTCTTTCAGCCGCCCTGCACGGCCCAACATATCGACCACACAGGAATAATGCTCCGCTGAGGGCTCGATTGAAAAAACTCTGGTCATTGAGGAAAACACCTCAATCCCTTCATCAACCTTTCCTTTATGACCACACGCCGTCAGAACAGAGAGAAACGTGATTGAGTCCGGGTCCACGCCATTGGCCTTCATCTCTTCAAACAGAGAGATCACGGATTCATAATCTCCGTGTCTGGAGTGGGCGGATATCATAGCCGTCCAAGAAACATGGGTTCTATTGGGTATCTCATGAAAAACACTTAGAGACTCAGAGATGCTCCCGCGCTTTGCATACATGTCAAGAAGAGCGCCAGAAGTGATCTGGTTGGTTTGCAGCCCTAGCTTTATTAATGACGAATGACATTTTTGCCCCTGCTTTATAGAAATGGATTCGGACGAAGCTATTGCGCTCAAGACACTGCCAAATGTGTATTCGTTCGGGCGCGACTCCATTACTGCACAAGAAAATGTTCTTAAAGCTTCATGATGCATTCCGTTTTGAGCGTACCCGGAAATCAAAGAATTCCATGAGATGATCTCTTTATGGTCAAGCTCCTCAAAAACCTTCTTAGAAGCTTCCATAAACCCAAACTTACTATACATGGTTACAAAGCAATTGGCAACATTTGATTCGGATAAAGAGTTCAACTTTATGCAAAAACCGTGAACGATGAAACCTTCTAACACCATATTGTTCATTGTTAGGGCATGGATTAGTCCAACAAATGTCACGTCATTAGGAAGAACCCCACTTTTCTGCATCTCGTTGAACAATGACATAGAATCCTCTTCGCACGCACAAAGTATGGTCGTCCAAGACACGACATTTCGTTCTTTCATTCTCTGAAAAAGAACTTTTGCATCTTTTGGATCACCGTGTTTGGAATATATTGCCATCAGGACATTACAGACTGAAACATGTGTTCCATATGACCTCTTGATTGCCTGCCCATGTATTTGCCTCCCCAGTTCCAAATTCCTCTGCTGCCCACAGGCTGAAATTGCACTGGTAAATGAGATGTGATCAAGTTTCATGCCCGTTTTCACCATGTTAATGAACCCTGAGATTACCTCTGCCGCGTAACTCCCTTCCTGAACATACCCAGAGAGGAGTGCATTCCATGAAACCAAATCTTTATATGGCATTTCAAGAAACACTCTTTCCGCATCCGTGATTTTCCCAGATTTCAAATACATTGTCAAGAGTGAATTCCCAACGAAAACGTCGCACTCCAACCCAAACTTAACCGCACAACAATGCAACTGAAACCCTAGCATGAACATTTCTTGATTTGTACAGTGGGTGAGAGACGAGGTGTAACTCACCGGATCAAAACACACCCCAATTGAGTGCATTCTATGCACAAAACACAGTGCTTCTCTCCCGTTCTTGAAACCCGAAAGCATCGTATTATAGGAAACAATGTCAGGGTTCTCCAAGTCATTGAAAATAAGCAGCGCGTGATAGAACTCCTCAGACTTGCAGTACATATTCATCAACGAATTTGGGACGGTCACATAAGAGAAGAATCCAGTTTTCAAAGAAAAACTGTGTAGCTGAAGGCCTAATCCTTTTAAGTCTCCTTGACATGCCTTTAGAGCTAAAGCAATGACGACTTCGTCTATTTCAGAGACGCCCATTTGGAGCTGTTTCTTGAAGAGTTTAAGAGCTTCAAATGGATTCCGGTTTACCAAATCCAGCATGGAGCGCTTTGTGGACATAAGAGAAGTTGTATGACATTTATCAAACACTTGGTGCTCATTCTGAAACGAGTGAAAAGTTTTCACCAATTGTCTTGGGATTCTTTGCAGAGCTTTGGGGTTCAATTGGCATCTAAACATTACAACGAAGAACGAAATCCCCGGTAAAATCCCAACCCGTTACACCATTAATGAAATCGCTACATATATACTAAGTGTTATCGTAGCTCAAGCAACCATTCTTTGTCACTTCTCTGAGTGTAACCGAGCTCTTGTCGCCGTCTCCATTGATTACCGATCGACCTCCTGCAGTCTCTGTGGAGGCGGCTCGTCCTTCTTAGATCTAAGAGGAGAAGAACCAATTCAAGCATCAAAAGGCAAAGATTATACTCGAAAACTTACTTTCTTGCCCTTTTTAACTATAAAGATCACAAATAGATATTCACTTTGCACTAAATAAAATTAAAACATAAATCATTTTCCAATATAGGATTTAAATTTATTTTCTAAATAAAACTTAACAATGTTTAGTCAGAAAAATAATGTCCAGTGATCAGTGATGCTAGACATTTACTTGAATAATAACTAATGCATAATAATCAATGTCTTACATTATGAAACAAAAACATATAATTTTATATTGAGAAAATCATTATATTTTAGTCCTATTTAATTAAATTTCTCTTTAAAAAAATATCTACTCCTTAGGCTCTGTTCCGTAGGTCTGATCTGATTAAATCTGATCTGAATTTTGGAAGTTCTGATCTGATCTGATTGGATCTGATCTGATCTGATTGGGTCTGATCTGATCTGATTGGATCTAATCTGATCAGATTGGATCTGATCAGATCTGATTGGATCTGATCTGATCTGATTGGATCTGATCTGATCTGATTGCATCTGATCTGATATGATTGGATCTTATCTGATTAGATTTGATCTGATTATATCTGATCTGGTGTAAATGAATTTAAAATTGGTTAAAATTAAACTTATAATTATTACAAGAAATAATATTAATAATTTTAAAGTATTAAAATTATTATTATTATTATTATTATTATTAACAATAACTAATTATTAATATATTATTAAAAATTGCTTTAAAATATAAAATATCTTCTGAATCACCGCTGCTCCCTCTCCGTTTCTGCGCCTCTCTCTATCGAATAAAATTCACAGGATCATCTCTATAGGCCGTCTCCTTTCAAATAGGTATTAGGAGTATTTGATTTAAGTCTTTGGGTCCATACATGTCTTTGGGTCCAAGATACTCAAATACGTAATTATGGAGTATTTGATTATAAATTCTTGTTAAAATTTATCCTAAATATACTATTATGTATGTTCAATATTTTTAACTTTACAAAACGTCTTTTTAAATATAATACAAGTATCATTTGTTCAACTCTCCTTTAATAATATGGAGTAAGAATAATAATAATAATAATAATAATAATAATAATAATAATAATTTTTATTGTATTTTGTTCTGGTCTGATCTGATCTGATTGGATCTGATCTGATCTGATTGGGTCTGATTTGATCTGATTGGATCTGATCTGATCTGATTGGGTCTGATCTGATTAAATCTGATCTGATCTGATTGGGTCTGATCTGATCTGATTGGATCTGATCTGATCTGATTGGATCTGATTTGATTTTAATAAGAATAAGTAATAAGCAAAAAAAATAAGTCCTACGGAACGGACCCTTATATGTCAATAGCTTCAATGCTTCCTATGTTTTCGAAATTGACACAAGTGCCCCCTGTTTTCTTTATTATTTTTTATACTGTTTTTTTCAGAAATATTTTTTAATTTCTTTTTTAAATATATTTTTCTTATAATGTTTTAATACTCAATTTTTTTGTGTTTGCAATAAAAATCAATGTTTTAGAACTTTTTTTTAAAATGTATGTTTGAAAAAAATAACTGTTCATTATTTGACTAACAAATAATTTTATTCCCTTTCTTAAAAAAGAAAAGAAAAAGAATAATGAAAAAGGAGAGGAGGCATTGGCGCCATTTCCAAATCATAGGAGGGTAACGGATATATTCACTTTATATTTGAAGAATATTTTTATTTTGAAATCATGGGGATAACGGTGCATATTTATCAAAACAGAATGTTGTTGGTGCAATAAGTATCAATTCGGTTCTCCTATCATAGTTTCATGTCCATGTGCAATTTTTCTTTTTTTTAATCCATGGAATTTTTTTTTCTTTCTAAATTTAATGTGCGAATTAATTTGTTGAATAGGAGTTTTTTCGAAATGTATTTAAAAATAGAGTTTTTCTCATTGCAGCGGCACGCATTTTTTATCGTTTTCTAATCCAAACCTTGCTTGTCTAACTACCTAGTGTTCGTCGAGCACATTCTCTCAAAATGTCAAACATATACGAGTACATATAGCGGTACAAGTTTAAAAACATTAGCTAGAATCGGTGATATGGTTAGGTCTAAGATCAAATTTAAAAAATTGCGCTCTACTGAAACAAGACTATTTTGGGGATGACGGTATCGCAGTAATTAATGCTTTAGTTAAATACTACTTCCTCCGTCCTAAAATGTTCTTCCCACTTACTTTTCACACGGTTAAACTTTAGTCACTTTCTTTACTTATTTTCATTAGGTATTTGATAAAATAATATAATCTTGTCACCACTTGTTTTGTAGAATTTTTGATGTAGTTTTTAAATATATAAATTTTATTTTTTAATTTTACACCTACAATCAAATAAATTGAATTGAAAATAAAGTCGGTCAAACTTTGTAAACAGAACCGGGAAGAACATTATAGGACGGAGGGAGTATATTTTTCGTATTCTTGGCCCACAACTATAAAGTTTAGCTTTTAGTTGAATTGATTTCTTAAAATGGTATCAGAACCTTGTTGACCAAGAAGTCACGAGTTTAAAACTCATCGCTGTTTAGTTTTTAAAAAAGTAAGGTTTCACGTAAAAGGTTCAAAAAAGTTACGTCTGCACGTGAGAGAACGTGTTAAAGTATATATAAAAATGTTTCATGTGTCACAATAATAAGTTTGAGTTTTTGGTTACGTTTGTTCTTTGACATTTTCATTTTGTACTTTCTCCATCCCTAAAAGATTGTCGCAGTTTGACTTTTTTGCTCAAACTGTGACACTCTTTGACCGTGAATTATGAAAAAATATTGAGTTATAATGTAAAATTAGTAAAATTGGGTTTAATTTATTTTAAAATATAGTTTTGAAATATCAAATATTTATAATATTTAATTTTATAAACTAAGAGGCTGTTTGGCAATTTCTGAATAGGTAAGTGCTGAACCAGTAAGAGGTCTGAATCATTAAGTGCTGAACCATTAAGAGGTCTGAATCATTAAGAGCTAGTATATTGCTTAACTATTCAGAGGCAAATGTCTGATCAATTCAGATAAGAGGTCTTAACCATTCGACTCTGTATAATACTTAACCATTCAGAGGCAACTCTCTTAATGGTTCAGACATCTGAACCATTAAGAGGCTGAAACAAAGAGTCTGAACCATTAAGTGCTGAACCATTCAGACATTTGAATCATTAAGAGGCTGAAACAAACAGCCCCTAAATCTAATTCGTGATTAAAGGGTATTACAGTTTGACCAAAAAAAATTAAACTATGTTAATCTTTTAGAGACGGAGGGAGTATCATTTCTATCTTCAATTTAATACCAACCAACCAATGGATAATAATAATTCTTGATAATAATTTTGAGTTAAGGTAACAAGCATTTTAATACTCCCTCCGTCCCATGAAACCTTTCTCCTTTCTTTTTTTATCTGTCCCACAAAACACTTCTTTTTTATATTAAAAAGTCACTTTTACCCCTTACTTTTTCATACCCTAACTATCACATCATACCTTTTTACTAATAATCTACCAATCAAATCATACTTTTATTCATCACATCAAAGGACATTTTTGGAAATTCAATACCAAAATACACTCTCCTTAAATCCCTCTTAAAAAGCAAAAATTCCATGTTTCATGTGAAGGAGGGAGTATCTTGTACGGAATAATACAAATTAAAATCAAAGTTTGGCAAAGGGAAATTGATGACTGCAAAGATATCTCTCTATCTTCTTCCATGTCCGAAGATCATATCAAATCCTCTAATCGAGAAATATAGGGCCTGCGCCCGGCACATAATTAAGAACCTCCCGATCCATGCATGCATATATGTCTTAGGCATTATTAACTGCAGCAAGAGTGGACAAATTAACAAAAATTGAATCAAATTAGATTTGTATTATGGGTGGATTAATACGTACTCCATATATTTAATACTCCCTCCGTCCCTTCAAAAACTCTCCATTTTGATTTTTAAAAGATTTAAGAAGAGTGCATTTTAGTGTTATCTTTCCAAAAATGCTTTTTGATGTGATGGATAAAGTAAGATGAGATGTGTAAATTAATAAAGAAAAGATGTGATGTGATTGGTAGATTAAGAATTAATATGAGTAAAAGTGACTTTTTAATATAAAAAGAGAAGAGTTTTTTAGGATGAATGAAAAGGATTTTATGGGAGGGATGGAGTATATTATTGTGACTAAAACATAAATTATTTTCCAATATAGGAGAGAGTATTATTTTAACAAATGAGCGAGGAAAGTACGTAAAGAAGTAATTAAGAGGAGGGAGTGTGAAGTGATGATGATGTCGGACCTGGTTAGAGGAAACGAAGTACATGTAGTGTCGTACTCCACCTTGCAAACCAGTGGAAAAGTGCATTTGATACCGTCGCAACTCACCGAAACCTTGTGATAACTACTATCATCAAACCCAGCTTGATAATCCACGTTTAAGATCATGGTGTAGTTCGGGTGGCGGCGTCGTCGTTTCGGTAGGGAAGAGGCAGGCTCTGAACGTGAACGTTGACGGTGAAGACGGCGGAGCCGAGGGGACTCAGCGCGGAGGGGCCGCCCCCGACCATAGCCGACGACACTGACGCGAACTCCACCCGCGCCTTCCCGTGTTGGTTCTTCCCGTAGCTAACCCCGACCAGATAATAGAGTGTCACCTCTGCCGCTAGTGCCGATGATGAATTATTATTATTGTCGTCGTCGTAGAAAATGGTTTTGTTTTTGTTGATCTTTGGGTCGTTGTAGGCCTTGAGGGTGTAGGTGAAGTCGGCGGTTAGCCGGCTTTGGGCTTCGTCCAC